TGGTCCTAGGGATCCCTTCTCTAACATCTCTTACCCTATGTCCTTGAAACAGAAGACAACCATGATTGTATACTGTGAAGGTTTGTGAGTTGTGTCACTGCCAGTGGAAGTGATGGACACTGCTTGGAGAGCAGGAAGGGTTGCAGTGGCAAAAGCACTTCAGGTCACCTTATCTTTGATAAAGGAGGCAAGAATATACAGTGGAGAAAAGACAGCCTCTTCAATAGGTGGTGCTAGGAAAACTGGACAGGTACGTACGTGTAAAAGTATGAAATTAGAACACTCCCTAACACCATACACAAAAATAAACTCAAAATGGATTAAAGACCTAAATGTAAGGCCAGACACTATCAAACTCTTAGAGGAAAACATAGGCAGAACACTCTATGACATAAATCACAGCAAGATCCTTTTTGACCCACCTCCTAGAGAAATGGAAATAAAAACAAAAATAAACAAATGGGACCTAATGAAACTTCAAAGCTTTTGCACAGCAAAGGAAACCATAAACAAGACCAAAAGACAACCCTCAGAATGGGAGAAAATATTTGCAAATGAAGCAACTGACAAAGGATTAATCTCCAAAATTTAGCATATACCCTGAGAAAACCATAATTCAAAAAGAGTCATGTACCACAATGTTCATTGCAACTCTATGTACAATAGCCAGGACATGGAAGCAACCTAAGTGTCCATCAACAGATGAATGGATAAAGAAGATGTGGCACATATATACAATGGAATATTACTCAGCCATAAAAAGAAACGAAATTGAGTTATTTGTAGTGAGGTGGACGGACCTAGAGTCTGTCATACAGAGTGAAGTAAGTCAGAAAGAGAAAAACAAATACCGTATGCTAACACATATATATGGAATCTAAGAGAAAAAAAAAACTAGGGGCAAGACGGGAATAAAGACACAGACCTACTAGAGAAGGGACTTGAGGATATGGGGAGGGGGAAGGGTAAGCTGGGACAAAGTGTGACAGTGGCATGGACATATATACACTACCAAACGTAAGGTAGCTAGCTAGTGGGAAGCAGCCGCATAGCACAGGGAGATCAGCTCGGTGCTTTGTGACCACCTAGAGGGGTGGGATAGGGAGGGTGGGAGGGAGGGAGACGCAAGAGGGAGGAGATATGGGAACATATGTATATGTATAACTGATACACTTTGTTATAAAGCAGAAACTAACACATCATTGTAAAGCAATTATACTCCAATGAAGATGTTAAAAAAAAAATAGCTTAAATGAAAACAAAAAGCACTTCAGTAAGAGAAAAGATAAATTAATCAACTTGTCAAATTCTTCTTCCCAGTCTGAAGGCAATAGATTCTTGTACAACGAACTATCATTCCCAGTATAACCGAGCATCCATTTGCCTGTTTTGCTTTGTATTCCAATCAGTGCTTCTGAAAGTTCTCACAAATGAGAGTATATTTGCAACAGTTTCACATGGCTAAGAAAAATTTTGTAATATTACATGTTATGAGTCAAATTGCGTGCCCTTAAATTCACATGTTGAAGTCATAATTCCCAACAGCTCAGAATGTGATCTTATTTGGAAACAGGGTAACTTGATTACAGAGATAACCTGTTACCCCTGTAATCATGCTTAAAAGGGGTCATTGGGATGTGGGTCCGAATACAATATGACTGGTGCCCTTATGGAAAGAGGAAATTTGGAGACACACACTGGGAGAATGCCATGCGAGTATCAAAGCAGAAAATGGGGTGATGCACCTACAAGCCAAAGAATGTCAAAAGAATACACACTGTGTGAAAATCTTGTTTAGAACAACATTAGGTATTCATTCTGCGGAAATGAAGGCAATAAAAAAAGTTTTAATGGAACTAATACATAACAAGCTATGAATTACATATAATATCTCTGGCCCCATTTACAGAATATCCAGGCATGGAGAAGAATGATTTAAGTAGTCATTTTTGATAGTACCTGGCTTCCAGTCATATACAAACCATAATTTTGCATGTATTTTTAACTTTTGTCATTATGAAGGTACATGTGTCAATGTGGGAGGACAGAACATATTTCACTGAGCAGTTTGCTAGCTTGATTTACAACATTTAAATATGTACATGTGTGGTATGTGGGCCTCCACTTGTGCTCATGCCCCAGGTCCGATAATTGTTAGAGGTGGGCAGGACCCAGCAATGACAGAAGAAAGCTAGCCTGCAGCTATGAACAGAAGCCAAACCAACAGCTCTAACTTGCTCCTACTACAAACTAAAGTGCCATCCTGGAAGCTTCATGTGAGGACCTGATGCAGTCCCTAGAGGGAGTGGTAAGTGCCTCACATACTTTGCCTTCCTGGGCAATAGTCCCCAGGGCCCTACAAGCCCATCCCAGTCCAGGGGTATATAGCCCTGTGGCCTCAGTGGGCACTAAGCTCTCACCAGGTTTCATACACCTAATATATTTCACTGTTCCAAATGTCAGGGTGCGTCATGAACTTGCATTTGGTTTCCTTGCAGTAACTCTTGCGGTGCCACCTTCAAGTAAACAGAGCAATCTTATAACTGCACTTCACTCCTGCATTGGGAAAGGACTGTGCAGTTTGACGAAAGGCTTTCAGAGCACTCCTCAATGCGGTGATATTCCCCATGGCTATTATTTTGTTACGTCCTGCCTGTCCCTTTGTAGGGAGGTTTGGCTGCTTGTTGAGGGCTATGAGGATAGAGAAGGGAACTAGCATTCCATCTGGGAGTAAGTCTTAGGAAGAAAGGAACTCTTAAAGATAGGGTAAGTGGTGGCAGCTGAGAAAGGAGGAAACAGCAGGATACATCGCCAGTTTCTAAGGGAGTGAGAGAAAAGGGTATCAAAATGCCAGACTGAGGATAAAGATTGAGCTACAGAAGGCCCTGTAGGATTTCCAACTTTGATTGTATTTTTTTGCAGCTCCCTCCAAGAAAACATGGCAACTGTACATTTCATGCTATTGCCGATTAACATGATGGATAAATGGACAGCTAACATAAAACAGAGTGCCTGACATCAAAGGATACTTTTAGCTACGGTTGAGCATCCTTAAGGAACTTAAATACCCTTTCCATAGATAGCAGCTCAGAAAAGCAGAATACTATCTTTGTATGAAATTAAAAACCATAAAAGATAGACTGGGTTCATCAGAAAGGTAGCAGCAAAGAAAGAATGAAAACTTCAACTAAGGACATAAAAGGGTTTAAAAATAATTTTGATACTAAAAAAAGGAACTATGATGCAAATACAACAGGTAGAAAGTCAAGCAGCCCAGTACTTAATAACAAAGGCAGACTAGTGAACCACATTAATCAACCTAGGATACAGATTATCAACAACATTTGAAACTCAGATTAACAGGAACAAATAAGGTATCAGAGTGGGAAGCATTTTTACAGCCAGTAACAAAAGTTTTCATCTTTGCTTAAATAAGACTTCAAAAGGATTCTACATATCAACCAATAAGTGAGTTCATCAAAAAAAAAAAAATAAAGATTAACTTTAAAAAGTGCAAGGCAGGGCTTCCCTGGTGGAGCAGTGGTTAGGAGTCTGCCTGCCAATGCAGGGGACACGGGTGCGTGCCCTGGTCTAGGAAGATCCCACATGTAGCAGAGCAGCTGGGCCCTTGTGCCACGACTACTGAGCTTGCGCTCTAGAGCCCACGAGCCACAACTACTGAATCCACGTGCCACAACTACTGAAGCCCGCGAAACTAGAGCCTGTGCTCCGCAACAAGAGAAGCCACCGTAATGAGAGGACTGTGCACCTCAACGAAGAGTAGCCCCCGCTCGCCGCAACTAAAAAGAAAGCCCACGCACAGTGACGAAGACCCAACGCAGCCAAAAACAAATAAATAAATTTATTTTAAAAAAAAAAGAAAGAAATGCAAGGCACAGTGACCACACTTCTGATCTGTTTTAAGATGAATCAGCATTTTCTACCTGAGCAAGTAGAATGCAGTTAGCACTTGGGTGATTTTAAAGACTCTTTAACAGTTGCCTTTAATTGGCTGATGAAATAGCAGAACAGTGTGGCTGAAAGCCAATGTTTATGTTTACCAGTTACCTGTTTTATTAATGGGATTGTGGGCCACTGGGCCTCCAGGAACACACAAATATATTTAAATATCCCACACTGTAATTAAGAGGCACAGAGAGGATTAGAGCAAATTAAGCGGCTGTTGTACTTGCCATTGGTTTAGTCAAGGCCAGGCAATTTGATGCTCTCATGGCAGAACTCGGCAAGTTTTACTTCATAAATCTACAAAATATGGAATATATTTTCTTGCAGAGCAAGGGTTTTAATAAATGTGTCTCCCCCCACAAATAAAAATTATATATAAAGAAAAATATCCCAAGTGAATGCTCCTACAATGAAAGAACAGATTCCCTTAGCCAGAAAAGGAAAAATGTATCAACAATAGTGTCAGTTAAAGAAACTGGATCTTGAGACTCTATTAATAAGGGACTCAAAATGAATCAAACTTCCATGTAACTCTCATCCAGACACAGGGCTTTCTTCTCCTAGGTGAGTCAGAACTTCTGCCTGAGTTTTTTAAAGGGAATAAAAATAAAGTGATCACCCAACAGATGACCTGTTCAATAACTAAAGCATCAGAAATATTTGCAGAAACAGAGAACAGATCCTTTTAAGCAAAGACTAGAGTATAGGTTCCTAAGCCAGCAGTGTTTCATTTTTTTTGTTTGATTTTACCAAATCCATTGTAACTAAATGTTAGCTTAATTTTAAAATAGTACATGTAAGTAGATTTTTTGCTTTGATTGCTCAGAATCAACATTACCATGCTTGAGATTACTGCCAGTGCTGGTCTCCTATGAATCTTCATATCAAAGAAAAAGCAAAATGGAATGAAGGCAGGGCAAAATGGAATGAAATCTGGAAACACAGTGTTTTGACCCAAGCAGAGGACAACATTGCCTTTGCCCTAGCAAGTCTGGAGAAGCGCTTAAAAAAGACAAGAAAGAAGATCTAAGTACTTACGAGGACCCTGGACTTGCAGTGGGAGGGGGGCCTGAAGAAATGAAAGAAAAACAAAAGAAACAGTCAGTCTGGGTTATTGGAGGGTGAACATCAGGACAGTCAAACCATTACGGACTAAAGTTCTCAGCCACCCCGAGGTGATATTTATTTTTCTGGAATTTATTATTTTGCTCCAGCTCCCCCAACCACCTCTATGAAAAAACATACCAGTGAGACTGTATCTATATCCCACAGTTCAGAGCCTGAAAAATGCTAAGACAAGGGCTAAAAAATGAGTCAGAGTAGGCATCCTCACGAGATGCAGCGAGTTTCAGTGGGAGGCTGAATGAGCACGAGGACATTCATTGCAACAGCAGGCAGGGGTCTGTGATGGCAGCTGGACAGAAAAGGGGCCTGTGTGCTGGAAATCTTCCCAACTTCTCTGGACAAGGAACATTCTTGTTGAGAAGAATTCACTGATGCGGTGACTTAGAATTGGAGCTGAGGTCAGACCTATCTGGACTCTGCTCCTGCCCTGCAGTTTACTGGCTGGGTGGCCGTGAGCATAGTACTTAACTGCTGGGCCTTGGTTTACTTATTTCTAAAATGGGTACAAGAGGACCAGCTTCTGTGTTGCTGGGCACACCCAGTACCTCCTCACCCCCGTGGAGGCTGAGGGCCAAAGGCCATCCCCAGTAGGAAGCTGCTTACCAAACTTGACAAACAAGACTCCAGTGGTAGAAACCACCTTCTTGCCATTCGTCGCCACGCACTGGAAGTAGCCCGTGTCTGTGGTGTCGAGGTTTCTAATCCGTAGCCGAGAGCCATAGTTGGTTGCCCGAAAGGAGATCCTCCGGGGCTCCTGGACCACAGGTGCATCATTTTTGAACCAGCGGATAGTGGGAGGCGGATTCCCAGAGACTTTGCAGTGCAGTTCTGCCGTCTGCCCCAGGGACGTGGTGATGTTATTCATCGGTTCATCGAGGGCCAGGTAAGACTCTGTGCACAGGGAGAAGCAGGCAGGTGAGAGGGGCAGACTGCTGGAGAGTACCTCCAAGCAACCCAAACTCATTCTGTGTGCCCCAGACCACAGAGAGACTGAACAGGAGCGGCATGGTGGAGACAGACAAGGGATGGTTGAAATCATCCCTTTACCGAGACCCTGTGACTACTAAACAATCACCCATAGAGTCTGCAGCTTGGAAGGAAATTTGTTACTAACCATGGTATAAAACCCAAAGCTTTCAAATGACTATGTGGTACCCACGGATAAATGTACTTTCTCGGCCAAGACAAGATGAGCTTTTGTGTTTCAGAGTATAAAAAAAAAATACATGCTTCTTGTTACAAACTCAAACAATACAGTGAAAAAGAAAAAGTAGTAAAATTTACCTCATCCCGAAATGACATCCCTCTTAACATTCTGGCAAAGATCCTACCAGTTTGTCCACTTTTGATAAGAGAGAAAGTATGAAAAACTGGAAAAGTAGGAGCAATATATTTATATCCACATGGCCCAAGACTGGGAAGGATGCTGAAAATCTTCCTGTCAGTGATGTTATAATGAGGGTTATGAAGGCCAGGTTGCTGGCAGACAAAGTGGTGAGAGGCAATGAAATTATTTCCATAATGCTACTCGTGTCAACCGCAACACATTACAATATATGATTCTATGCATTCAATTTTTAATTGAGATATAATTTATATTCTATGAAATGTATCAGTCTTAATTGCACAGCCCCACGAGCCTTGACAAATGCATGTACCCATGTAACCAATGCCCCTGTCAAGATATAGAACAACAGAACATCATCAGTATCCCAGAAAGTACCCCCAAGATCCTTAGTAGTGAATCCCTGCTCCACCCCCTCTACCTGGCAAAACTGTGAGAGGATTAAAATTAAATCAATCAGGCAAGGCATGGGAAGCATTTAAACTAGTATATGGTGAAAAGTAAGCACTCATATATATTAATCAGTGTTCTATTATTTTTATAATAATAACAACTTCTGTGCAATGCCTTTTACTCTGTCTCCTGTTATCCTCTAATAACCCCGTGAGGTAGGAAAGGCACAGGAAGTATCATGATGCCCAGCTACAGGGGAGATGTCTCAGAGATTAGCTGACTTGCCCTGTGGTCACACAGTAGGATGTACATTGTGCCCAAAGCTTCTAGCACTAACGACTTTGTGTCCTCAGGCTCAGCCTAGCACCTAAACAAAGTTCAACTGAGCCAAGCTGGTTAGTACAGTGGTAAGAACAGATAGACTCTAAGTCCTGCCATATGCCAGGGGCTTTACTTTAGTATTTACCTGCCCTATAACCCCACAAGGGAGGAAGAATTGTCATCGCTGCTCAACAATGAGGAGACCTAGGATCAGAGAGGTTAAGTGACTTGCCCAAGGTCACACAGCTGAGCCAAGGGCTGGTTCAGCTCTCTCTGGCTCAAAAACCTAGCTCTTTCCACCCCATCAGATTGCTTTGGTAGCCTGAGTCACACTGAGGAGTGGAGGCAAAATTCAAATTTCTTCCTTAAAGAAGAGCTGGGGTTTACACACATCCACACACCCACAGGGCTGTGATCTTCCCCTAACTCTAGCCAGGATTGTCTGGTTAATGGGTCTAACATTTAGCTATGTGTTCTGGCTGGTGTTATGGTTTCCCTCCAGGAGCCAGGTACCTCACTGACCTGATATCCTCTGATAGGCCCTTCTCCTTGAGGCTACATCCTGTTTCCTGTCCTTTCTGTAGCATGGGTCCAGCTTTGAGTTGGAGGTGAAACAGGAAGGAAGGGGGCAGGGCACAACCTTTGAAAAAATGACATAGCCATAGGACATGACAAAAACTGGTTAGAAACAACTAGGCCCAAGATGGCAGAAGATTCGACTTCCAGTGGACCTTGAGCCTCATTATACGCTCAATGTAATACATTAGCATCTAAATGACGCACCCACCAGTGCCATGACAGTTCTGAGGCTAACCATAAAAGGCCAAAAAATGGGCGGTGGCCCAATTCCTGGAAATCCCTGCCCCTTCCCTGAAAATGGTTGGAATACTCCTCCCACTCATTAGCATATGAAATTACCCAGCCCATAAAAACTAACCACCCCATGTATCGGGTCCTCTCACCTTCTGAGATGGCCCACACTCTGTCTGTGAAGGCTGTTTCTCTCTAAATAAATCCACTTCTCACCTATCACTTTGTCTCTCACTGAAGTCTTTCTGCGACAAGACATCAAGAACCTGAGCTTCATTAAGTCCTGGGACCAGGTGTGTGATCTCAATTAAAAGACTGTGGGTTGCAAGTTCCAACCTGAGTTTGGCAGGGTTCGAGTCCTGGTGTGTGGGTTCGAGTCCCAATATGCGTTTAGGCTGGGTTTGAGTCCCAATCTGAGTTGCACGGTTTTAGAGGGGTCTCCACAGTGGCAAGAGGTGCCATCACTCAGGTACTCCCACAGCCTGGCTCCCTCTCCCAGATTTCTACCTTCTTTAAATATCAAAGCCAGCCAACATCAACCACACTCCCCAGAGGCCAGGATGACAGTGTCTAGGTGTGCATCTCAGGGGTTGACATGACTGTTGAGTTTTAGTCAAGAAAACAAAAGTCAATTCTACTTTATTTCTTTGGTTCTTCCCCCATAGGAAGTTGCTACTGAAATCCCAGCAAGCTTTTTGGCCAAGCCCTCATAGAGTAAAATATAAAAGGATGAGCTGGAACTTTAAACTCTTTCTTTTGCCTCAAAACCCCAGTTACTTTGCATGATACTACAATCACAGACACACAGTTCTTCAAATTTTTTCTTCTAGGAACATAAATTAGCCCAGAGACAGAGAGTTCTATAACTGGGTGGAGTATTTCAAGTATCCTCTGACGGTGTACTCAAATTTATTGAAAACAAATTAGTACGGGTTGATCCACCAGATGAAATCAACCCTCACAAACTCTGAAGCTAGAATGTCTGAATTCGCATCCTGGTTCTGCTACTTATCAGCTGTGTGACCTTGGGCAAGTTATTCAACCTCTCTGTGTCTCAAATTTTGTTACCTATGAAATTAGTACAATAATTATATCTTCTTCATAGGGCTACTGTGAGGATTATATTAATTACTACATGGAAAGTACTTTGAATAGAGTCTGGCACGGAGCAAACAGCATGTGAAAGTTTCTGCTATCATATTAGCTATTTTTTTCTTTTCTTTTTCTCACAAATAACTTATGCCTAAAAATGGGGAATGATTATGCATCAAACTGATTGGTTTCCTGGCCATGTCCAGTCCTGACTTTACAGAACAGATCTGAGGGATGAGGCCACCTGCCCAAGATCACATAACTAACACATTGCAGGAGAGAGTGGTTAATTTGTCTGTGAAGTTCTATATCATATCTACCTACAACAAAAACAAGGGTTATAGGGCATCTTGAAATCAGTGTAATAGCTGGCTCAAGCAGTATGTTTCCAGGGAGAACAAAGGAAATGTAAACAAATCTTTGTGTCTACTGAACAAAGGAGGCTTGCCATAAACACAGGGAATTTGGTTCTAACTTTTTAGTGATAAAGAATAATGTTCCATTTATTTGCCATCTGTAGCTGCTCACTTAATAAGTAAAACAAGCAAATGATCCTCAGTTTGGCAAAGACTGGAAGCATCAGAAACACATTTGGCCTAAACAACACGAACGCATTTTGAGACTGGAATAAAATAAAATAAAAACGCATGTCTGAATCATTGCTATCAGCCTGTTGTTAACAAGCCTCTGGCCGTGATCCATTCTCTTCCCAGAACTATCTGGATCCTCCTGGAGCAGCCTCATGGGCCACACTAGGGGACCCACTCTCTGTTCTACACCCAGCACTTGGCGTGACCATTGCAGGTTATGGACTGGTCATTTCTTTCAGAGAACACCTGGGCATCCCAGCGAAGCAGCCCAGGGCAGAGGAAATCTGTAAACTGGACCTGATACCAGTTTGCCACCACCTAGCTGCAAGTGTCAGGCAGTCACTTCGCCTCCCTGGGCTTTGGAGTCACGCTCTGTTACATGGGCCTGTGCGGTCTGCACCTCCTGAAATAGTGTAAGTTTCCATATGGGCCTCAGCTACAGAAGCACTGGACGGCAGTGTGGACTAAGAATGCCGCCTGCCATATCAGTAAACAAGATGTTGCGGCCATTGAGCCGTCAGCCACTACAGCTGAATTCCCTCTACCCCCCCACCCCCACCCCGCCAACCCCAATGGTACACCCTGAAGGGATTCAGGATGGAGAAAAAAAAGAGATTACTGGCCCTAGATAGTTAAGCTGCATAGCAAAGGAATAATTTCATTAAGTCCAGGGTCTTGCATCTTCCCCTACAGAAAAGCACTAAATTCATTAACTTGAGATATCTGGTTTTTCTTTAATTAGCAGTAATCTTTTGATGTTCTGACTACCTGGTTTTGTTGTTGTTGTTGTTCATTTGGTTTTTTGGGGTTTTTCTTTCTTTTTTTGGTAAAGTTCCTATATGTCCTGGCTCCTCCCATACCTCTTTGAAACTGTCCCTGAGAGCTACCTAAGAGGCTGTATCCCGGGCTTAAGTCTTCAGTAAGTCTGCCAAATAAAACAATTGTCAGCTTTTAGGTTGTGCAGTTTTTTCAGTCGACAGCAGACAGCAGGTACTGACTGAGTCTGAATGCCAGAAAAAGCATTTTGGCCTGTACATTTAAACCTGGCTATTCATACTGTTAAAAAAGGCCCAAAGTGGAGTCACTTGTGCTAAGTCCACATCACCAAACCGAGACTTAATACCTACCTTAATTACACTTTCAACCTCTCTCAGGAATGGACTCTTAAACCAATCAATCTGGAATTACCTAGTCAGCACTAGTGAGGTGATCTGCCTGATAGACCCCTGCTGTGCCCTAAAAGTGATCTTGCCACAAACAATCTACTCTTTGCTAGGAACAACCCTGTTCTGCCCCTTTCTGCCTATAAAAGTCTTTCATTTTGTACAGCTCTTCAGAAC